TGTAATACTCACCCATAACCATCCACTACTCACAATGTACATAGTTTTGCCACTGTACTTGGGAGCAAGTGTGTAGCCTTAACTCTGACAATGCTAATGGTAAAAAGAGCAGAGAAAGCAGTGGGAGTATGTAGTGGTCAAGGGCTGAACAGGGTGCTGGAGCGGAGGTGGGCCTGGTGGCATCAGTGATTGTAGGCTTCCCAGGGTTGGTGATTTCGCACATCTGGCGCACTAGGCATCTGAACTACGGGGAACCCTTGATGCACCAATATCCTGAAGTGGTACTCAAGGCCTCTATAAAGACCAGATTCCCCACTACTCTAGGATCCCTCTTATACAAAATCTTCTTCCCACCAGTCCTTCCCTGCTCAATCTCCCTTCCTGTCCAAAACCTTCCTCAACTCCCAATACGCTTAATGGCCTTGACCTCTTTCACCAGCATTGCTTTGCAGAGCCCATCTCTTTATCTGCTGCAGCCCATCCTGCCCACAAGGGTGTCTGTGTAGGTCAGGCAAGAAGGTAGCATCAGGAAACACCTGGCACAGCTCAGATTACTTAAACCAAATCATTTAAAAAATGGCCTATATCCAGATGTTATCAGAGTCTTCATATCAGAAAGAAGTCTGGAATTTGTGGGATTGGCTGTTTAGTTAGAGGAAATCGAAGGGGATATGAGACAAATATCAACAAAATTTTAAAGGGAGCATTTCCCATACATGGAAGCCTCCATTGTTCCACCAATTTGGATACAAATTTACATAAGTGATTAGGTTGAGAGGGGGACTTCAGTCAAATATCCAGTCACAGCCTACTCCTCCATGAGTATAAACTCTCAATCCAGTTTATTTAGGTAACTCCATGTTTAGCCGAGAGGTTTGACCCTTGTAACAGATGCAAGGAACTTAGTCCACAGGTTATAAACAAACATGCATACAATCCAAATATATTCTTAATGGAACGCTCTAACTTTGAAGCCTAAAGGCAACGTGCGACTATAATCTGTAGCTTCTGGAATGAAGCTTTGCTTTACCAAAAGCAACAGAAATAAAATGGTGAATTGTCTTCACTTAAAACAGACATTTTCATATGCTACAATTCACCCATTTGCAGTGAATGTCCCCTCATCTGTTGGAAAGGGCTTGAATGTATCTTACCTGTTCGGTTGGGATAGTTGGGTTACTATCAGATAGGTGAGGCTCGTTCCTATTACTCATTACTTTTAAGAGGATTCTGCACATAATTAAAAACAGTAAACACCTGATAACTGGAAATATGTACAATCTGCATAAATTAACCTTTACCACTGGTTTACAAATTTATTACAGACTCACAGCAGAGTTAGTAAATGGTATAAAATTAACTTTTACTGATGCCTTTCCAACTTCTGTCTGGGGTGGAGAAATTCCCAGGGATAGACAGGGCCTTTGAGGAAGTGTCAGAATAGGGGAAGGTGAAGCTGGACACAAAGAGAGGAGGCAAGTTGAGAAGAGAGTAGAACAGTAGAACATTGTTTGGGTCTGGAGTAGACTATGATTTTCAGAGGAAGGACAGTAGTTGCAAGAGGGGGGCACACTGGAGATGAGATGGTAAGAGATGGAACAATGCAGTTTCAAGATATTATTTGTCTGAATTCCATGTGGAAAATGTTGCCATTCCACATAGCATCATTCTACACACATTTCACTTTAGCATGCTTTTGATAAAACAACTGTTTGTGCACACAAAAACATGCAAAAGTGCCCATTTTTGCAAATTTGCTTATAAAATTTTCACCTGGGAACATGCCAATTTGGTTTGGGGAAAAAGTGCTATTTTCTTGGAAAATAATCCCATTTTTGAGTTTGTAACAAAATGTTTGCAGAAGATGTACTGAGAGGAGTTCAATGGTAAGAAGAGGAAGTTTAAGAAGAGCTGCAGGAAATAGAATTAGGAAGGCTGAAGATGGAAAAAAATTGGAGGAAGAGAGTCTGAAGCAGATTCATCATGGAGTCAGAAGGAAAAGCGGCAGTCAGAAAGAAACAAAGAAGAACCAGGAAGAAAGGATGTTGTAAAAGGAAAAAGTCAAGAAGAAATAAACCAATGTCTCTGGAAGGGTAGGAACAAGGGAAGAAGAGTTATCCATTTTTGCTGCTGCTCCTTTGGAAAGGAAGGGAGCCTGACAGCATGAGAGTATAAAGCCATATCTATACTTACCCAGAAGTTTGAATTAAGATATGCAACTCCAGTTGCATTAATTTTGTAGCTAGAATCAACGTAACATTTAAATCTTTCGCACCAGCTTCACAGTGGGAGGTGGACAGAAACAAACTCTCCCATTTCCTCACTCCTAATTAATCAAGGAATACTGATATTATCAGGGTACCCTCTGCATACAATTTAGTGGGTTTTTACTAGACCCGCTAAATAAAACGTCAGAAGATCGACGGCCGCAGCTTCGATCTTCTTGCTAGTATATATGTGGCCTAAGGCTACAGACTCCTAGTTACTATTAAATGTTCCAGAAGCTAACATGACTATCAGTCCCAAACACAGACATGTAAAGGGCTAAGAGTGAAACTGGTTACATAACACAGGAAGCGTTGTAATAGTGCAAACTGAGAACTGCATGAATGCTGTGGAGGAGGAGGTTAGCTCACAGCTGAATTGATACTATGTGCCTTTAAACATACATGCCCATTTATCCTTTAGATACCCCTTCAAAGATGCATGTCCTCCATACTTATGCATATACTATGGCAAGGTCCTCGCTCAGGCCCCTTGCCCTGGGACACCTTGTGGTCCACAGATGAGCTGGAAACCCATTCTGGTGCAGTCACCCGTGCCTTTTAGTATCCGTTTCCCATCACCTTCTATTTACAAAGCTTTTGGAGTATAGCAAACTCAGCCAGCTTCTCTTTCTGCCTGAGGGCACACACTCAGCCACGCCCTAACTTCTTTCTTGCTTCTCCCCTCCTGGCTTCTTTCCACTGCCTTATATAGCCCTCTGGCTAATGAGGCCCACAGCTGCTTCTAATAGACCTTCAGGCCTGGGCTTGTTCAGCTGTTTGCAGTCAGACTATAGTGGCAGAGCTCTGGCTTAGCCAGCAGTCTGTCTCAATGGCTGTGTCTAGACTGGCCAGTTTTTCCGGAAAATCACCTGATTTTCCGGAAAAACTGGCCTGGCCAGTCTAGACACAGCCTGCATGTATCCCAGTCTCTTCTATGAAACAAAAACAGTATTGGTATCACATGAAGTCCCACAAGAGATGCTTCTGGGACTGAAAGCAGCAGGCATATTTGCTAGCCTTCTGAAGACGAAGTTGAGAGGAGTGAGACAGCTGACTGTTTCCCATTAGATACTGGAGGGAAGGCAATGAAGGACTTCTCACCATCCACATCCAAGTGGAGAAGTGATCACACTTTTTTTACACAAATACTACACTGTTGTGCCTTCTATAAGATTTTAGATGAACAATTTGTAGTTCTTTAATTTGTGCAAGTGGCATCTCTCCGGCATGGAGGTTGCTGACCCCAATATATCATCTTTCACAATCACAACAGAATTCTAAAACTACCACTTCCCTTTGGGTGCCAATCCATCCGTAGAGCTCTGCGGGAATATAAAACTTTGTGTCAGCATCCACATATGTATCTGCAAAATGAGACTTGGATGTCTGCATTGAAATCCATGGATGTGGATAACTGTGACTATAAGGGCTCTATGCATCTGGCAATATTTCCAACAAAGCTGACCATCTTACTTCCTCTTCTTTATCTGTCTGCCATCTTGCCCAACAGAATAAGTGCTGGAATCAAGTTACTCTATGATTGGTGAGCAGTGTGTCCTCAGAAAGATGCATTCTCTTACCTACAGTGCAAAGTAATTGTTCTTTTAAAAAAAAATTATCTTTGTCATTACCTCATCAGTCACAGTTCTGGTTATCCAGCTAATTTTTAATGTTCTGTAACTCCAAAACTGGAATGCTTTGCATCATCTCTTAGAGCCCTTTAAGTGCTATGTTCTCATGGCAATACAGGAGGGGTGCATGAAGCACTGCAGCAATCTACTATGGATGTATTTAAATTATTGACAACTCAGAAGTCATTGGAAGTTGTTGAATGCATTTTTGCAAGCTGTATACTCCACTTGATTTCTTTGTATCTTGCGTCTGTGGTATTAGGATACCAAACTAAGGGAAGCTATTCACGGCTACGTGTAGACTGGCATGATTTTCCGCAAATGCTTTTAACGGAAAAGTTTTTCCGTTAAAAGTATTTGCGGAAAAGAGCGTCTAGTTTGGCACGGACGCTTTTCCGCAAAAGCGCTTTTTGCAGAAAAGCATCCGTGCCAATCTAGACGCGATTTTGCGCAAGAAAGCTCCGATCGTCATTTTCGCGATCGGGGCTTTTTTGCGCAAAACAATACCGCGTTGTCTACACTGCCAGAACGGGAGCAGCATAGCATTTCTGCAAGAACACTGACAATCTTACATGAGATTGTCAGTGTTCTTGCGGAAATTCAAGCGGCCAGTGTAGACAGCTGGCAAGTTTTTCCGCAAAAGCACCTGCTTTTGCGGAAAAACTTGCCAGTCACTTAACCGTCAAGATAGAGATAGTACATTACTTATCATACATTTTGTCTTACTAACCTTAATCAGCATATCATATTTCTTGATGGCATTATTCACAGCAATAAGCATGTTCTTACCTAGTCAAAATGATGTAAACCAGGTCATTGGCATAACATATACTATATATGATAGTGATAGAAATGTAGCCGTGTTAGTCTGGTGTAGCTGAAACAAAATACAGGACTATGTAGCACTTTAAAGACTAACAAGATGGTTTATTAGATGATTAGATATCATCTAATAAACCATCTTGTTAGTCTTTAAAGTGCTACATAGTCCTGTATTTTGTTTCAGCTACACCAGACTAACACGGCTACATTTCTATCACTATCATATATAGTATATGTTATGCCAATGACCTGGTTTACATCATTTTGACTAGGTAAGAACATGCTTATTGCTGTGAATAATGCCATCAAGAAATATGATATGCTGATTAAGGTTAGTAAGACAAAATGTATGATAAGTAATGTACTATCTCTATCTTGATGGTTAAGTGGTGAAACAAGTGCACGGCTGCATCTAGACTGGCAAGTTTTTCCGCAAAAGCAGGTGCTTTTGCGGAAAAACTTGCCAGCCTAGATGCAGCCGTGCACTTGTTTCACCACTTAACCGTCAAGATAGAGATAGTACATTACTTATCATACATTTTGTCTTACTAACCTTAATCAGCATATCATATTTCTTGATGGCATTATTCACAGCAATAAGCATGTTCTTACCTAGTCAAAATGATGTAAACCAGGTCATTGGCATAACATATACTATATATGATAGTGATAGAAATGTAGCCGTGTTAGTCTGGTGTAGCTGAAACAAAATACAGGACTATGTAGCACTTTAAAGACTAACAAGATGGTTTATTAGATGATTAGATATCATCTAATAAACCATCTTGTTAGTCTTTAAAGTGCTACATAGTCCTGTATTTTATATGCTATATATGTTTTTGAACTGAATGCCTTGGTTTGTCATCAAAACTTTCCCTCATTTTACCTTCGGCATATATATTGAATGGTTGTTGAGATGGGATGCAACCTTGATGTACACCTTCCTTAATGCGGCAATACTCAGATATTTCATAGTTCCTTTGGATGGCTGCTCTCTGTCCCCAATATAAGCTATTTGTTAACTATAGACCTTGAAAGTCACTACTTTCATCAAGAATATGTATCCTCTTGTCATGCTGGATTTTATCAAATGCCTTTTTCAAAATCCAGAAGGAATATATGGATTTCTCTTTGCAAAATGAAATGTTGAAAAGGCCTGTTGCATGTGTTTCATATTAGTGTGCTTCAGTTGAGACTGAGGGACATACTTGTTACAGGATCAGAGCCACTTCTGTTTTGCATCCTCTTTTTTGGTCTATTTGACATCTTGTGATTACTGAGCTCTCCTGTGGTCTTTGACACTAATATTAGTCTTCAGCAATATTATTACCTTTCCAACTGCACTTGTGCTTTTGAGTCAGTCCCGTCTTGAAGGATTCTATAGTCCACTGTATTTCTTCCAAGCCACTTTCTATGCACAGCAGGACCTCCCCGTAAACACACTTCACTGTTCTCTTGGTTATCCCGCCTGAAGATTTTACTGTGATGTTTGCAAAGAAAATAAGGGTGAGGCATTGGTTGTTAATGACTGTCACTTAACAAGGAGACAACACTAGGCAGCATGCTAACTGGTACTCAACTCACTGATTTGTTATAGCCACCTCTTGTCTCCTATTTTATATCAGAGTATACTCTTCAGGGCAGACAGGCCTGTCAACAGGGGGAGACAAAGGGTGCAGTTGCCATGGGACCCGGAAATTTGAAAGGACTGAGGGCTCCCTGACTGCTGCCACGGCACCGAGGCAGTGATGCTGGGCAAAGCTACAGGCCCTTTGAATCATCTCTGGAGCCCCAGGCACCATGCTCTGAGCAGCACTAAGGGCAGCAAGGTGAGACCCGATGCAGGCTGGGGGGTGCTGAGGATTGGCTGCTGCTGCCTTGGCCCTGCCCCCACCCCTTCTCCATGAGGCCCTGCCCCTACCCTGAGCATGGAGCTGTGCCTCAAACACCTTGCCCAGTGGCTTAGAGTCTGTATCCCCTGAGAGTAGGGACCATGTTTCTGTTATATGTCTTTACAGTGTGTGGCACAATGAGGCTCTCATCCACAACTGGGACTAATGCACTTCTGCAATTCAAACAGTAACTTTGAACACAGACTCTTCCCTCCAAAGCCTTTCCTTCTCTAGCAATTAGAGTCTGAAGCCTGAAGATGCCTAGGCTATTAACCTGATTTTCAATGGGACTAAATGCTCAGAACTTTTAATGCCAATAGCTGCTCTGCCCACTGGGAAAATCAGACAAAAATGTGTCCACAAGCATGTCTTTTTCCCCATTGTCACACAAGACTTTTGATTTCCTTACTTATAAACTATGATTGTCCAATTCCTCTGCTATTACACTGTGGTTCCTTTTTTGTCCAGGTTTATCTGGTGCCGCCGTGGAGTTGTGTGTTGTCATAACTGAGCCGGCTTTTAGTGTTACATATTTCCTGTGGTGTTTGACTAATGGTCTGTGGCAACTCCTATTTCCTTGGGAACAAGGCTGCTCCCAGACTCAGGGCAGCGTGCCATAGCTTTGCTTTCCTCTTGGCATGTGTAATTCCTCCTCTATTTAAATATAGGTTTGTGCAGATTCCTCACTTCAGAGACAAGCTTTGGCAGGTCTACATTTACATCCAGCCAGACTCCTGGGGATCTCAAACATTGTGTGCGGGATGCTTCAGCGGGAAGGAATGAAAATGTTAACATAAAACAATTGTATGCAGTGCTGATATAGCTGGGTTGGTCACAGGATAATAGAGAGAGGAAAGGTGAGTGAGGCAGTATCTTTTATTGGAGATGGTGCGATAGTATCTTTTACAGTGTCTCATCCATTTGTCCCTTTAATCTAAAGTGCCGCTGGCTCATCAAACAAGTGTAAGGGAGAAGCAGGAGAGCTAACTGCCTCCGTGGGCCCCAACCCAAGTGGGGGGACCCAACTTTGTGCCCCCAGAAGGAGTGGGGCCTTGGTCAGAAAGGGTTGGGCTGCAGCAGCTAGTCCTCAGTGCCACTGGACTGCAGTGTGCTCTTCCGCCCTCACCCAGATCGCCCTGCACAGGGCTCCAGTAGCAGTTAAAGGGCCTGGGGCTCTGGCCAGCCCGGGGGAGCTCCAGGCCCCTTTGAATGGCTGGGCCTTGGGATAACTGCCTCCTTTGCCCGTCCCACCCGTTAGAGAGAGGAAGAAGGAACAGCCCCGGAAAGGCTGTGGGAGTACAGAGGGCACCAGGGCTGGCTTCCATTAGCACTGCTGCTGGCTTCTGACCTCCTAGCCGGGGAGCCTTAGGGAGAGCCACTGGGGCATGCCGAGCTCGGCCTCCCTGCCAAGCAGAGGCGGAGGCTTGGGGGCAGAATGAGACAGAAGGCGGGAAGAAGGAAAACGAGGGAGGACAGGCTGGGAAGAGGAAGGACCAGAGGAAAGGCCTGGGGGTGAGGGCAAGCGGGGATGGAGGAGGCGGGAGGAGCCACGGGAAGGAGCTCGGGCCGGAGGGAAGGGAGGGCGGGTGCTGGAAGGGAAAGGAAGGAGGGGAGAGGGCATCGCCCCCGGAGACTGATCGGAGCCTCCTTGGTGCTGCTCCAGCGCTTCCCGGCACTGACAGGCGGGGCGGGCAGCCGGCCCCACCCTCGCTATTTGTACCGGCGCTCGCGGGCTCAGCGCTGAGTCGCCTCCGGACGCGCAGCAGCTCGAGCTCCCGGCATCGCTAAGCATGCAGCGGCAAGGCGCTACCCGGCTCGGCCCCCTCCTGCTCCTGCTCCTGCCTCTGGCGTGGGCCGGAGCGCAGCCGGGCTGGACAGGCGGCCCGCGTGGCGCTGCACTATCTCAACTACCGCCAGGGCTCGCCCAGCGCGCTGCGGGCACTGGGGCAGGTCCGGAAAGCCACGCTCAAGGTAAGGGCCGGGGGGCGTCGGGGCGCAGCGCCCGGAGCCAGGGGCAGCGCCGAGCGCACAGAGTTCAGCGGTGCTCGGCGTAATGCGCAGAGCAAAGGCGCTGTCCGGTGCCCACGTATTCCCTGGTAACTCTCAACTACCGCCAGGGCTCGCCCAGCGCGCTGCGGGCACTGGGGCAGGTCCGGAAAGCCACGCTCAAGGTAAGGGCCGGGGGGCGTCGGGGCGCAGCGCCCGGAGCCAGGGGCAGCGCCGAGCGCACAGAGTTCAGCGGTGCTCGGCGTAATGCGCAGAGCAAAGGCGCTGTCCGGTGCCCACGTATTCCCTGGTAACTCAAAGGGCGCGTGGTGGCCACAGCAGAGAGTAAAGACCCTGAGCCGTGTGCAAAGAGCGCAAGGCTTCGCGTTTCTGACCCTCCTCCCACAGCCCTTTTTGTAGGGCGATGATGGAGAAAGACTCGGGTGTTGTGTGTCAGGGACAAGCAAAGGGAGACAGGAGGGCTGGAAGAGCCGTTTCCAAAGAAAGGGTAAAGGGGCTGTAAGAGGGACGCCCCCCTGCCTTCCCCCGCAAATGTGCCCTCTAGCTCTGCCAAGCAGCAAATCTAAAAAATGTTACCCCTGGCCATAGGGCTCCTGCCTGAGCTTTCGAGAGTTGTAGGTGCTAGCCCCTGAATATGTCCAGGAACACTGAATAGCTCGTTCAGGCAGGGTTAAGCTATTCATTAATTCTCTGACTAAACCAGCCCAGAAAAACAAAGGCAGGCAGCCGGTACTACGCACATGATTAACATTAGAACAGCTCTTAAAATGGCATGGTCACTAGTGAAATAGTCTATTTGTCATGGCAACTATGACTGCACAATCTCTTCAGATTGAGCAGGCCTCATGCTATCATTTACCCTAACACTTTTCAGCAAAAATACCTAAACTGCTTCAAAGTTTCATGTTTCCAAAGAATTTTCTGCTGATTTTTTTCTGTACAATTTTCTCTACAATGGCCTCTTTTGATACTTTGATCTCCGTAGACATACCAAGGCTGCTACATAAGTATATTCATGAGCAAAAAGTGTTTGCACTGTGTATGTGATTATAATAACTTTGTGATGATAGCAAGAGAGAAAAACCATTTACTTCCTTAAACTTATAGAGTTTAGATTAGATTATGGATTAAATTAACAATGTGTCCTGTAAGTGAATAAAATATGCAGACAAGGAGAACCCTTATTGTCCTATAGCCATTAATCATACTGAAATCAATCATGTCTGATAGAAATGGACATAGATCCAGGATGTGCTTTTTACATTTTATCATGCTCTGGCCTCACCTAGAAATCTAGGTCAATGCTTCCAACCTTAGCTCTTATTTCTCCATGTATGTTAAACAGATATTACCTTAGTGTAAGTGTCTTCTGGAACATACATAAAATGACATTTTCCACACAATGAAAGTCCTAGGCTGAAAACTAGTGGAAGATAAGCAGACTACCTCTTCGATATGTAACACATTTGGGCCTTGAAAGCAATCTAAAGTCAAGTGATGGGGATGTAGTAGGATTTAAATAATCCAAAATTAAATTGGCCCTGTTTCAGGACAATCCTTTAGCTACCATGCAACTCAAAACACTAACTGTTCTATGTGTCTTACATTTTTACCTCTTGATGCTGTTTTTTAGTTACCATTCATAAACTAGACAAGCCTAAGACTGGGGTGGGCAGGATATGGCCTGCAGGATGAATTTTGCCCGCCAAACCATTTGATCAGGCCCATGGTCCGCCCTGGCAAGGGGGTGGTGGTTAAAGAGTTTGCATGCTCCTCTGCCTCCAAGCCCCAGTTGGCCTTGATGCAGGAGAGTGTACAAGTCTCCCACCACCCGGGCATGCAGGGTACAGAGGGAGCTGCCAGCTGTTCAAAATGGCAGGGGGTTCCCTCTATGCGAAACATGACCCTGGTGGGGAATGAGAGTTTGCATGCTCCCCTGCCTCCAGCTGCTCTGATTGGCCTTGGTGCAGGGGAACGTGCAAAATCTCCTCCTCCGTCCCGAGGTGCACAGCAGATAGAGAGAGTCGCCAGCTGTTCAAATCTCCCACTCCTAGCTGCGATGACTGGCCTGGGGGCAGGGGAAGTAGCCCTGAGTGGGACATGGAATCCATGTGGCTGGGGCTACTGCAGGAGGTAGCCTGCCTCAGAGTCCTGTTGGGCTGCTGTAGCCTGCCTCAGAGACCTGTTGGGCAGCTGGCCAGGAGCCACCTAAGGTAACTGACTCCCAGTCAGAGCCCCTCTCCGGCACCTCAGCCTCTTCCACTTCATAACTCCCTGCCCCACATCATAACCCAAATCCTTTGAGCACACATCCCACCCCTGGTAACAATTCCCTCCCAGACTGTGCACCCCTTACTACACCTCTTCCCCCAGGTCAAAATTCACTCCTGTACACCTACTCCTTCCTGGACTCTGCACCCCAATCCCCTGCCCCAGTTCACACACCTCTACTTCATCTAAGTTACCTCTCAGACTCCATACCCTCTTCTCCAATTAGGATTTTATTTCCGCATACAGTATATATTTCTGTGCAACTTGAGCACACTTTGTGCCCGGAAATAAAAATCCAGAAATAAAATTGTGTCCAATTCTGGGCACTACGTTTCAAGATGTGGAGAAACTGAAGACGGTCCAGAGAAGAGCAACAAAAATGACTAAAGGTCTAGAAAACATGACCTATGAGGGAAGACTGAAAGAACTGGGCTTGTTTAGTTTAGAAAAGAGAAGACTGAGAGAAGACATGATAGCAGTTTTCAAGAATCTAAAAGGATGTTACAAGGAGAAGGGGAAAAAATTGTTTGCCTCAGTCTCTCTGATAAGACAAGCAGCAATGGGCTTAAATTGCAGCAAGGGAGGTTTAGGTTGGACATAGGAAAAACTTCCTAATTGTCAGGGTGGTTAAACACTGGAATAAATTGCTTAGGGAGGTTGTGGAATTTTCATCACAGGAGATATTGTATTTAAAAGCAGATTGGATAGTCATCTATCATGGATGATCTAGAAACTGTTTGGTCCTCCGTGAGGACAGGGGACTGGACTCTTATGACCTCCTGAGGTCCCGTCCAGTTCTAGTATTCTATGATTTCAACTAACAAGCTCTGTTTCTGATGTGGTCTGCTTAACACAGAGTATCACCTGAATACTGTATTTAGCAATAACAAGCTCTGTTTCTGATGTGATCTGCTTAACACAGCGTATCACCTGAATACTGTATTTAGCAATAATCAGCAGATATTTTCATGTCGACCTACCTATGCAGCCAGAATAAAATGTAATAAAATTCAATCTTAACTTCCCTTTTAATAAAGATCTCGTGTCTCTCACTTCCAGGCTATCCCAGGAATTGGACATAAGTACTACCTGCAGTTCACTACAGAGGACTACAAAAGCAGTGTAAGTTTGTAATGTAAGGTGGTCCTTCCTACACAGAGTACAGAGTACTTACTTACCCCTAAAAACTCAAGCTTATTTCAGTACTTTTCTGAGCAGATCCTTCACGTGGTTTATTTTGCTCAATGCCTGAGGAGGATAATCCTGACTTGGAGCTATATTGTGCCATCAAGCTTTTAAGCCAAACTTCCTATTGATGTCAAAATCAATAGCACAGTATGGCCCTCATTATCCAAATGTATCTCCCGTGGCGTCTGCACTCCAAAATCTGAATAATTACTTGACAAATTTGTTGAAATGATAACCCTCACTGCTCTTACACTCGACTAGGGACTTGTCATTACTGATTTTACCATATGCACCTGGTCTTCCATTACAGGCAGATTCTACAACATACAGAATTATTTCAATCACAGATTTTTTAAATAACTCCCTAGCTCTTCTCTGAATAAAGTCCATATTTATTATACAGAGAAAACTTGTCCAAGAGACTTATCTCCCGTCCTGAGAGAGACTATCCCCAAATGTACAGAGTACAGTTCAGCTCCCCTGTACTATAAGACCAGCTCTGTTAAGCAATCAATTGTTGTCTGTTGTGCAGGATAGGTCTTACTGTATTTTTATGAACACTTTTTATGAACACCGTTCACTTCATAAGAACGGCCATACTGGACCAGACCAAAGGTCATCTAGCCCAGAATCCTGTCTTCTGGCAGTGGTCAATGCCATTTGCCCCAGAGGGAGTAAACAGAACAGGGAATCTTCAAGCAGTCCCTCTCCCATCACCCATTCCTAGCCCCTGGCAGGCTAGGGACACCATTCCTACCCATTATGGCTAATAGCCATTGATGGACCTAACTTCCATGAAATGTATCTAGTTCTTTCTTAAACCCTGTTAGAGTCCTGGTCTTCACAACCTCCTCTGGCAAGGAGTTCCACAGTCCAACCGTGTACTGTGTGAAGAAAAACTTCCTTTTCTTTGTTTTAAACCGGCTACCTATTAATTTCATTTGGTGACCCCTTGTTCTTATGTTATGGGAACAAGTACATAATTTTTGCTTATTCACTTTTTCCATACCAGTCTTGATTTTATAGATCTCTATCATATCTCCCCCCCTTAGTCTCCTCTTTTCTAAGCTGAAAAGTCCAAGTCTTTTTAATCTCTCTTCACATGGGACATATCATTAGATGCAAAAACAGTAACTGACAAGTCATAAGCATTTGCTCCAATTCACCTATTCCTATACAAATCCTACATAGTTTCACATAATATGCCTACTATACATCCTGTGCCTCAGATTTAAGACAATGGATTTTTTTTGTTTTTGTAACATGATGTGTATACAAATAAAGATATGGAGTAAAAGATCATAGCTTTGATATTTATGTTTTTAGCAAGATGTTGGGACCTGCCTTGCTACAGTACTCTACCTGAAGAGGAAACCTCGACCCGCTGTTAATATAAACTGCACATATACCAAAGATCAGAAGCAAACTCGAGAAGATGACTACAGCTTTTACAAAAAAATGAGACAACAAACCAAATCAATCATAGGAAATGAGATTCCTGGTACATTCCCTTTCAGTTGTTACTTTAAATTTTTAGCTAAGCAGTTTTCATAACCACTATACAACAAAACAAAAAAACATGCAAATATGCACACACTTCTTACACACATATTTATTTTGATTAACGGCAGCTTTAAAACAAAGAGGTTTAATAAAGGGGCCAACATTCCTGAAGATCCCTGAAAAAAATTTGCTGGGCTTTGCAGGATGAAGACAACATCAAGGACTAGAGAGATCTGTAAGATCAGACTTACATATAGTTCTATGCAAAATTCTTCAATTGTGGAGATTGGATTTCCCATTTCATTCTTCATTGTGGGGAACTGATGGCTAACGTTGCTTGCTAAACTCAGTTCCACCTTGGTCAGCCCATGCTTTCTTCTTTCTGTAACTACAATACATTTATCTGTTCATTATCCCCCATTCAATATTGTGACATGCAGCTTAAAGAAACACTTTCTGAGAGTAATCCAGTGTTAGTGCAAAAGTGGTTTATCATGTGTTTGATGTAAAAGCAGAATTATTATATTTGACATCACTCTTTTTTACTTCCCCTCTCAGACAATGACGGAAATATTGAACCAGACTTGGAGCCAGTGTGGGCTTTGGCAGTTGCTGGCAGCAGTTACATAATGTGGGAAAAGTCAACAGAGAACTTAGGCTATTTCATGGCACAAGTCAAGAATGTGAAGCAGTGGGTAAGTGAAGCTGAAATTAAATCTGCATTGCAAGGTTAACACAACATCTCTCAATAAGCATTACACAATAAACCGGCAATCAGCAGCTCATAGTCACAGACAAATATCTGATTCATACAAGATCTCAGCATCCAGAGTGAAAGTATTTCAGTCAAAAATAACATGCATCGGTGAAAAATTTATGGGAAAATATTAGAGCAAAGTGTGAGCCAAATCTCACTTGATTCACTTATGCAAGTACACAGATTGGTTTCCATAGGACTAAACGTGAGAGTGAAGATCTGATCCATTTTACTGTAATATGCTGACTTTATACTAATTCATGCCAATTGCGTTTTGGCCTTTTAGGTCAGCTTACGTGTAATGCCAGTTGAAAATTTCACATACCCTCAGGGGACTGTATCTTGCATCCAAACAGTATAGAATCAGTGATCTAATTTTTTTTTCCATCTCTAATTTCTGATGTCCATAGGGTGTTTAGTTTTTGCTCGTGGGTATTTAGGGCCAGATTTTCAGAAGAAAAGTTTAATATTCCAACTATGGGAAGATGAAAGATCCTTTCCTCATTGGCACTATCCAGTGGTTGATGAGGTAGGATTCTTGAATCTTGGGTAAGTCTTCATTGCCCAGTTAACTCAGATGAGCAACATCCAGCTTAGAACACCTTGGATTCTCCTATCTCTGGTGTGTTCAGCCAAACTGCAAAGTCATATCCAAGTCACTGCATCCTCACTGGGGCTACACCCTACCATAGGAGTTCTTGGGGCACATCAAATTTTTTTTGTGCCACAGTAAGCTGAGCTGCCGTGGTTCTTTCCCAGTGAATTGTGCTTAGGCTGAAAATACTAGCACACTTGGTGAGAGGGTAGTGTGGATGGAGGGGAGTTGCAGGGCAAACTCCAAGTTAATTCTGCAAAAAAAGACATATCCTTCATCATCTATGGACATATTTAGCCATTTCAGTAAGCGGTACTTGGTACCTGCATCTCCCCAGAGGTGATACTGGCAATTACAGGCCAGTAAGTTTAACTTCAGTATCAGGCAAATTGGTTGCTACTGTAGTAAAGAAAAGATCTATCAGGCACATAGATGAACACTATTTATTGGGGAAGAGTCAATGCAGCTTTTATAAAGGGAAATCACACCTCACCAAGGGTACATCTAGACTGCGAGGATCTATTGGAAAAAATTATGCAAAATGTGTTCCGCACTTTGCGTGTCTTTTTCCGATACTTTTGTTGGAAGAGGCTTTTCTGAAATTTGGCCCATCTAGACTGGGCCAAATTTCAGAAAAGTCCCCTCTTTCGAAAGCCCCCTTCGTCCTCATGGAACGAGGAATACAGAGGCTTCCGAAAGAGCACGTTTGCTCTTCCACAAAAAAAGGCGTAAAAGCAAATGCGTTCTCCCTCTCCCCCTCTCCGCAGTCTAGCCATACCCCAAGATAATAGGGTTCTTTGAGAGGGTCAATAAACACGTGGATAAAAGTGATCCAGTGGATATAGTGTGCCTGGACTTTCAGAAAGCCTTTGACAAGATATAAGTAAAGTAAACAGTCACAGCATAAGAAAAAAGGCCCATTCATGGATCAGTAACTGGTTAAAAGATAGGAAACAAAGGGAAGGAATAAATGGTCACTTTTCAGAATGGGGAGAAGGGGAGAAGTAAAAAGTAGCGACCTACAGGGGTCTGCACAGGGACCAGTGCTGTTCAACATATTCAGAAATGAGGTGCAGTGGCAAAATTTGCAGATACGAAATTACTCAAGATAGTTACATGCAAAGCAGACAGCAAAGAGTTACAAAAGAATCTCACAAGATGGGAGCCAAATTAGCTTTTACCATTTAAGAAATAGATCTTGGAGTTGTGAATAGTTCTCTGAAAACATCCTCTGAATATGCAGCAGCAGTCAAAAGAAAGCTAACAATGTTAGGAACCATTAGGAAAGTAATGGTTCCTAACGGTAAGACGACAGAAAATATAATGCCACTATATAAATCCATGGTACTCCGACACTTTTAGTACTGCATACAGTGTGGTCACTGCATCTCTAAAGAGCTATATTAGAATTGAGAAAGATACAAAGGAAGGCAACAAAAATTATTAAGGGTATGGAACAGATTCTATATGAAAAGAAATTAAAAACACTAGATCTAATTACTTGGAAAAGAGACAATTAAGGGAGATATAATACAGTTCTATAAAATCATGAATGGCACAGTGAAAGTGAATAAGGATGTGTTATTTATTCCTTTACATAACACAAGAACCAGAGGTCACCCATTGAAGTCAAGATTAAAACAAACCAAAGGAAGTATTTATTTAAACAAAGCAGAGTCAACCTGTGAAACTCATTGTCATTGGATGTAGTGAAGGCCAAAACCATAATAGGGTTCAGAAAAATATTAGGCAAGTTCATGGAGGATAGGCCATCAATAACTATGGGTATGTCTACACTACCCTCCTACTTCGAACTAGGAGGGTAATGTAGGCATACCGCACTTGCAAATGAAGCCCGGGATTTGAATTTCCCGGGCTTCATTTGCAACTCCGGTTGACTACATTACCACCCTAGTTCGAACTAGGGTGGTAATGTAGTCAACCGGAGTTGCAAATGAAGCCCGGGATTTGAATTTCCCGGGCTTCATTTGCAACTCCGGTTGACTACATTACCACCCTAGTTCGAACTAGGGTGGAGGTGTAGACATACCCTATTAGCCAAGAGGGTCAGGGATGCAACTCCTCCTTCTGGCTGTCCCTAGCCTCTGACTGTCAAAAGCTGTGAGTGGATGACAAAGAATGGATCACTCAATACTCGTCTGTTCTGTTCATTCCCTCAGAAGCATCGGGAATTGGTCACCGTCAGAAGATAGGATACTATGCTAGATAGAGCACAGATCTGACCCAGTAGAGCTGTCTTTTGTCAAGTCATGTTTAACATCACATAAGCTATTTATGGGTAAAACAAAGAGCTGCATTTTATATCATGTTTTTACCAGAACTCTCAAGGTCGTATTCCATCATGATCCAATTTGCTAGTAAAATAAAACTTTCCTAGAGATAACTCAAGGACAGTGGATCTATCAAAGACAGATAGATCTCAGAGATGGTACAGCCCCACTGCACTGTGAAGGTGATGAGTCTGAGAGAGGATAATGGAATATCCTCTACCACATGAGAGGGAAAAAAAGGGTAACACTGAAAGTCCCCAGGAAGACCATACTTTTGGCTAGATGGGGTGTCTTAAGCTGATGTAGGAGGGGAAAAAAAGGAAGAAGCACAAGAGTGATGGGAAATCACAGATGTTATATGTTTCTTAGTTCAGAGCTTGGAATGGAGAGTCCATCCATAGTTGTGTGAAGAGCTCATCCAATTAATTAAAAAAGCTACTACACATATTAAATAGCCAGCTGGTCGTACTAACAGCAGTGCCAGGAAGAATAGCTTCTGAATATTAGTCTAATTTGACTGACTCTCTTCTTTGTCTTGTGTGTGCATACAGATAACAAAAGATGATTCGACTGACTTTGACTACACAGTTATACTACATGAAATTCCAACACAGGTACAAAAACACATTGTCTGTAAGCTCTTTTGAACAACAAAAAGAATGCAGAGATAACCTTAATTTTGTCTGCTTTGCAGGAAATGATTTCATGCCATCTCCGTGTTATTTGGATTCCTGGTCATCCCCTGAAAGTGAAATACTTCTGCTTGTCAGAGAACCAGTCATCAGAATCTGGAGAAGGGTCTGGAATAGAATCTGGGTCTACTACTGGAATTTTCAATGAGAAAGAAGCAAATTTTTGAAAAGATTAATGTTGGCTTTATATAAAGATTTTTAAATGGAAAAAATACCTTGCAATACTAGTTTCAATCAGTATTGTGATAACTCTTCTACACAAATTGTGTTGCAGTAAATGTGAAGTATTTTAACTAGTCAACTTTCATAAAAAATAACTGTAGAATTTCTTAAATGAATGTCACACATTTTATATATCTACTTATGACATATATACATGCACACACAACACAATTTAATGTCACTAAGTTACTTAAAGTAACAGAATGTGAACAAATGTAATATATTTGGGTAAAAGTCTTGAGGAAATTAATTTTTCATTTCCATAAGAAAAATATTTGTCTACTAATTTTTTAAATTTTTGAACAGGAATGTTATGCATTAGTTTTTAACTTATATCTACAGTAAAATAAATACCATTACATTTAGAGGAAGCTGTGTTTTATTTTTGCATGACACTGATGATTCATTCCTTACCCTCAGCAACTGCAAGCAATCTCCATCCTGGTTCCAAATCTACAGCCATTAAAGCCTACAGACTAGCCTAGGTGGCATTTTTAGAAAGGACAACCGATATGGCAGAGAAAACATTCTCTATTGCAAACAAAAACAAACATTAAAAAGACCAATAAGAGCTGGATGTATTTTACTGTTCCGTGACCACAAGTTTTTTGCTGCAGAAGCTACTCCTTGACACAAAGTTATACAAGTTTAGAAAATGCAGTTTCAAGAAATGTTTCTAGCACTTCTGATTATGAAAACAACTGTGAAAATATGGAGAGGGCAAAAACTTAAGGAGTATTACCTTTCTCTGCATGCAGACGGCCTGGAACAATTTGCTCTAGAAAACTACAAATTTGTCAGAAGAAAAATAAGGATAAAAAGACCCAGCATGGTCTTTCCTAGTCTATTTTTGTTTATAGCATGTATGGAGTTCTGGTTATCACCATGAACAAAGATGGATAAACAGAAAAAGCTTTGTGCAGATGTATCCTCACAGCAGAGTTCCAGCAAAACACAGCTGCTTTCTTTCAAGTTACCCAGCTAGTACTCCCAGACTGCTTTTCCTAGTACTGTCTTTTTGCCCCATCCTACACATATTAAAGTCATTTTGTAAGAAGATACATAGTTTTCCATGCCCAGCCTAGCCCATGTGTTCTAGGTTTAGGGCAGGTGGGCTTTCCACTCAACAGGGCTGTACCTAGGAGGGCTTGGAGTCCAGGGCAAATCAGCCTCCCATCACCTGCTGCTCACCTGTCTCACCTCCCTGCCTGCCTCCTCACAACTTTATTGAAGTGCAGGGCCCCAGCAAAGTGTAGGCCCGGGTAGTTACCCCAATTAGCCATACCCAACAGATGGCTCTGCCCCTCACTGCCTACTCTTAAATCCATACCAATCTGGACTTTAATAACAAGACAAAAAACCATTTTTATTTATAAAAAGTTAAAGGAATTCCTTGTAATAGGTGAGATATTATGGTCTAAATTACTGGTTAAATTCTCCCAGTCAAATGTTTTAAACAGAGTCATCAAGCTGATGGTGATAATTTAAATTAACAATATTTAAGTCCAGATTCAACATTTATTTTCAACGCTTTTCCACTTTGTGAGAATGAAAAGGACCAAAGCATTTTTTCTCCGAGAGGACGGTTGCCTCACAAACCCAGGAACAGCCAATGCACTCAGACTATTCATCTACTGAATGTATAGTAGCACTACCTCTTTTTCCATCAAAATTGAGATTGGTGACTGTCATGATTATGAGGGTTAGCCAGAAGCCTGGGGATTAAGGGGTTAACTACACCTAGCCAGGTGGAGTGACCAATAAGAATGTAGGTGGGACTTTTCAAACTGGGACAAAGGAATTTGGGTTTTTTTCTTCGCTCCTTTTGTCTCTGAGAGGGTTCTCTGCAGCTACAGAGAGGGACAAGCATGTCTCTCTCTCTCTCCAAGACACCATTCTTCATTTTCTGTAAGTAGGGTAAAGTTTAGGTAGTTTCGCTAGGTTTTATTGCTTTAAGGATTGGGTATGGGATCTGAGATCTGGCACTGTTTAAAAGATGTTTTGGCTTTTCTTTGTAACTAAGTTCTAGGCCCATGGAGTTTCTCCATGAGTATATTTTGTTACCTTCCTCTCCAGTCATTATACTTGCAACCAGAATATTGTTGTAATAATAAAAGTTCTTTCTTTTCTTTTATTAACCTGGCAGTGGTTAATGGTGTGCCCTGATTTTTGTTTTAGGGGGAAGATTTCCCAAATGATCTTTCCCCTGGTTTCTTTAGCAACATTTGGGTGGTGGCAGTGGAAGTTTTATTCCCAAGATCTAGGTTTTTAAGATCTTGGGGGAAGTTTTATACCAAAGCCTGGTAGATAAGGCTTTGGGGTACACTTGCTGGCCCCCACTTCTGCATTTATCATGCCAGAGTGGGGAAGGAGCCATGACAGTGACATAAAAAAAAGAAGTGACCCCTAAAAATTCTTGAACCGTTACCACCCAAAGAGAAAATAACTGTCCACTAAACTCCGTACACAAGCTGTGTTACCATGTTACAAATCCAATAAAACATGTGCAAGACACCTTGTCGTAAAATAAACTTCCAACAGCCCAGAAACACAGAATCTTAATCACTCATGTAGATTTATATTGGTGTAATTCCACTGAGTAAAAAACAGTTACCTACCTTTCATAACTATTGTTCTTCATGATGTGCTGGTCATGTCCATTCCAACAGGGGCATGTACGTGCACACACAATCGGCAGAAATCACCATCTGGTTAGCTATGGAGCCTCCTGCACTATGGTGGAATGTATAAGACACTTCCAACACCTCTCTCCCCCGCCCTCTCAGTTCCTTCTTGCTAGAATATTCTGACAGAGGGGAGGCAGGTGAGATTTGGAATGAACATGAGCAATGCATCTTGAACAACAGCTATGAAAGATAAGTAACTTTTTTTTTTCAAGTGATTGCTCGTGTGCAGTGTTTCTTAAACTGTGTTCTGCGGCACACCGGTGTGCCACGAGGCAGTTGGAGGTGTGCCACAGAGAACAGAATTCAAAACGGCTGCCCTTAAAGGGGCAGGCAACCTTTTTTTCCCCCTCAATAACTTTTTTTTTTTTGCTCAACAAAAAAAGCCTTGGTGTTCCTCATTTAAAAAAAATATTGTTTGGTGTTCCTCGGTCTTAAAAAGTTTAAGAAACACTGCTCATATGCATTCCAATAGGTGACTTATCAGCAGTTCCACTGGAGGAGGGGTAGGTACTCATGGCTAAAGCAAGGATTGCCCTTCTGAAAGCCACGTTATCCCTTTAATGCTGTGTGTACATGTAATGCAATGTACATGTATGCATGAATGACATGTTTGGCATATATCTTGAATCGGGATGCTCTCAAGGAATACTACCGAGGACACCGGAGCTCTTGTAGAATGTGCTGTCAGCAGAATGGGATGAAACCTTTGCCAGGTCATAACAGGTCCTTATAGAGGACGTGATCCAATGTATATACATGAGTAGATCAAACAGGATTTAATCCTATAAGGTTTAGTGTGCATAGAGCTAGGTGCATCTATTTTGTATCTATGTGTACCTAGAAAATCCTTGAAATCAAATTTGTTTCCAATAGTTATTTTAAAATAATCCTCTTCTCTTTTTGTGAATGCTTAGACAAAGCATGTCACTGTGGTTCTTCAAGTGATTGCTCATGTCCATTCCACATTAGATGCGTCTCCTTGCCACATGCACCCTTGCCAGAAGTTTTTCCCTCAGCAGTATCTGTAAGAACGTGGCTCTGGTGCCCTCTTGAGTGGCACCTGCATCCACAGTATAATGGGAAGGGGAGCATCGTCACCTTCCCCCACCCTAAATTCCTTCTTGCAGTGACGCTACATGGAACATTCACTGCTTTTACTAGCATTGCTTAGGTTTTATTTGTACAAACTGGAGTGTGATGGTTCCCCCTCCATGCTTTAAATGAAATTGATTTATAGATACAAATACGCATAACTCAAAGATGCTTTGGACAAAATACCTCATGTAACCTATCGATTTTAATGTTACAATCTGCTGGATCTGTATATCTTATTTGGGTGTATGTATCATTCTTGCATGTAAAGTTAGAAATATGGGGTATGGAAAGTTTTATAGTGATAGAAATGTAGCCGTGTTAGTCTGGGGTAGCTGAAGCAAAATGCAGGACAATGTAGCACTTTAAAGACTAACAAGATGGTTTATTAGATGATGAGCTTTCGTGGGCCAGACCCACTTCCTCAGATCAAATAGTGGAAGAATTACCCTCAATGTCTGGGTGATCACCTGTAAACAGCCTCTTTGTCCTTTAAGTCTAAGCAGTGGTTGGTCTTAGGAAGACATGTGACCACCCCAAATGGTAAGGTCTGACCAGGCAATTTTCCATAGAAGGTGGGAGAGAGAACAAGAAGTTCCTACCAAAAGTGAAATCTATAAAAAATGGGAAGCTAGCTGTCCTTTTGTGTTTGGCAGGCATCAAGGTTCCCTGTAAGCTGCGCGCCTGAGCAGTCGCACAGCTGTTTTCTAAGCTTTGCTCAAATTCAAAGCTCCCCACAATCAGGGAACTCAGCTGACCTGCAGGGGTGGGGCATCCTCTTGCTGAGCAAGCAGCTAAATGAAGCTAGATAAGGAGAGAATAAGTGGCAGGGATGGGGGAGGAGAGGGAGTGAGTGAGTAAGTAATGAATTGTCTGAGGGGGAGTCAGAAGGGAAAGGAGTTTGGAGAGTCCAATCTGCGCAAGGAGAGAGAGGAAGAAAATCAGCACTCTCAAGCCTCCTGGGAAGGGGGAGATAAGGAGCTCACTGTATGGAGTAGGTGGGGGAAAGAAGAGATGGGGTGGGTGCTGGCTACACTTCAAAGGTCAAAGCACCATGTGAAGCCTGGAGTCAGCTTGGGACTCTCCCATTGACCCCAGGCTCCATGTGGCGTTGCTGCTTTGAAATGCCGTGGGGAGCCAGGCGTCAGGCTCCTCGTGGCATTTCAAAGTGGCAGTGCCGCACAGAGCTTGGGGGTCAGCAGAGAAGTCCCTAGCTGATCCCAGGCTCCATGCAGCACTGCTGCTTTGAAACACCACGTGCAGCCTGGGGACACCCCAGCTGGCCCCAGGCTCCATGCAGCATTTCAAAGTAGCAGCACCGCATGGAGCCCAGGGTCTGGCCTAAGAGTCAATGCAGCACTGCTGCTTTGAAGTACCCTCTCCTCTTTCCCCTGCCTTGCTGCCTTTTTATGTTCGAGGCAGCAAGGGCGGGGGAAGTGACTAGTCGACTAACTTGTCAATTAGTCATTCACATCCCTACGCCAGAGGGTGGCAGAGCGGCCCTTCTATGGATACTGCTAAAGGAAAAATTTCTGGCACTGGTGCATGTGGTGAGCACACACCCCTAATGTGGAAAGGGCATGAGCAACACATCTCGAAGAACACCAGTTACAGAATTGGCAACTGTCTTTTCTGTTCTGTGACTGGACAACCAGAATAAGGAGCCAGGAACATTGGCCCAAACACACTTTATTGATTTTGAACTTCACACCTTTCTCCCACCTCATGATCTATTAACTGGAAATCTGCAGATAATGTTGTAAGCGTAGCAGGAGTTGCAGTTGTTGGGAAAGAACCAGTGTGCATGTGAAAATTGAAGTTATTCTTTTGATTAGGTAATAAAAACTAATTAAAGCACAATAACAATATCCTTTCTCTCTCACCCAATTATAATAGCCTGTTTTTTACTCTGTGCAACAACTTGATGGGAACTAATTAATCAATTCTGAGGATCTCTGTTGATGCTAATATCAATGGGGGATAAAACTATCTTCTTGAATGTGAGATTTAGTGAAGAATTAGCATAGCTTTTGTTTATTTTATGTTTGTTCAGCAGCCACAAAAAGATCCCAATGGAAAGATTGGAGAACATGGTAATAGGCAAGCAAATTAAACAGTAGTTAAATCCATAACACTTGAAAGATATTTGCTTTTAATTATATTTAAAGATGGTATAATGCTAAACCCTTAGCAATTATTTTCAAATTCACTATAGTGGGCTCATCTGTCCTGAGCAGAGCTGGTAGGCAGCAAATTGCATTGATAGATACATTTCACTGGTGGATTATTTATGACTTTGGAAGATATTAGAATTTTGTTTTGGAATTGGAAGAAAAATAGTATCTATATTCACTTCCTGAAATACATATTGTTAACGAGTTGACTTGCAGAAGCAAAGGGATTTGTTTGGGAACAGCCTTTAGGGGTAAATTTTCCTTCTGTTAGATAAGAATTCACCCACCTGATGCCCATCAAGCTGTGAAAATTTAGTCCTCTTAATTGGGATCCTACAGGATTCAAAACTGAGGAACAATAGTTACAGTAGCATATTTTTCCAAGTAACAAAAATAATTACTATATAATTTTAATACAAGTTTTTAAAAACAAACATTTATAAGACAAACTATTATAATTAAACAGATTTTTTTTTTTTTTGCTAATGAATGGAATTCATATGTGACCATTTCAGCCATGATTGCCAGGTAACTTCTGAATGCATTGTAAAGGAAGATGCTTTTAACAACGATTAGGTGTTGATACAGTCTGACTTCATCCATTCACCCTGGATGTGTTGAGTCACTGATGTTGCACAGCGTTGCAGGAGAGAAAGTTTGTCAGAAGATTGTGAAAATTTGCTAATTAACACTCAGGAGGAGGCAAAAGTCAGCTCTTGGCCTTGCCCTTTTTCACGGGAAGTTGTCCAGTTGCTTCTAGGTATTTGTGAATTAGTTCTTCTTGAGTACTAGGTAAACATGGCTGGTATCTACTGTATTCCATTGTATATTCCC